CGGGCAGAACTCCTCTGAGTCTGAAAAGACATTTTTCAGGATCTGACAGTAAAACACCACTTGTGCTATGCCTCTCATCTGTTCACCCTTTCAGTTAAGCTTTCACCCTGTGCATTAGAGAAATGAGTCATCTTTACCATCTCTCACGCACTCGCTTTGTCAGTACCTTGCCTGTTTTCACTATCACCTGAAATATATGCTCCTTAATCTCTAATACTACTTTATGGGGGAAAACCACTAAAAAATAAATTACGGTTATAATGAGAAGCTTCCAAAGACACACTCCTATAATAACACAGAGGAATCTCCACGCTCAGTATTAAAAGGATAAATTTTCAGTGCATCCCCAGTTTCACAGGTATACACAGCTCTTCACTTTCACCTGCAAATGACTCCATACATTAACAGAGAGACAAAACTCAATCAAGCATGTCTGTCATTGCGATTATGGCCTGGCTGTAAAGCAATTTCACAGAATGTGAGAGGACCATGATATACCTATTACATCTTAAAAGCCTCCCTCATTGTGCCAGTTTTACATAAATTTATTCCATGCTGTAGATTAAGGGTTCAAAAAAATATCCTATTTGCCCACAGGGATGGGAATGAGCAAAGTGTTGAGACTGGAGGCAGTTCATCATTTGAACCAGGTTTTGCACCTGCAGAATTCCTTTTTTTCTACTTGGCAACAGCTTGGTGGCTTGCACAGTCCCAATGACTGTCACAGACTATTTGTGTATCTGTATCTTCTATAAATAAAAAATAAAAGTTGGAAAGGCTGAATGAGAGACCCCAATATTCCAGTCTGACTCAGACTGTGGAATTCAATGGTGGAAATATAGCCCTTAACTCTCTTAGGAAAATAGACCAAGAGCTATGCACTTCTCTGCCTGAAGATCTTCCATAGTGACTTTAGCACACTTTCAAATTACACACACACACACGCATGGCAGTTTTAAAGCTGTAACTATCAATGCAAGTTGCCTTCTCCAACCATTCTCAAATTCTGACATGCCCTCAAATCCTAAATTTGACTTAAATTATTTTCAAGCATTTTCTGACAGCTCAAGCTACAAACTTGGACTTTTAAAATAAAAACTGAAATTGTTATTATTATGAAAACACAAAATGATGTGAAAGATGACATCTCAGTCACCCTGGCTCCAGTAGGAGAGTTCGTGCTTATTTTACTAGGAAATCAGCAGGTGTGCAAAAGCTCCTGCAAGCACTGCAGAGCTGATGCAGCTACAGGAAGCAGAACTCTCCTTCAACCACAGGAACCTGCCCCAGCTCCATCTACAGAGCTGCTGGGTTTGGGCTGCTCTGGCCAAGGCAGAGCATTGTTGGGTGATGCTGTGCCATGTTCCCAAAAGAAAGGAGGAGCACGAATCACAGCAGGAGTCTTCTCCACACTGGCAAACTGAATGTTTTCCTTTGAAAGCCAAAAAAAAAAAAAAAAAAAAAAAATCAATGCAACAGTGTAGAGACTTTCAAATATCTGACCATAGTTTATAAGGAATGGCTTAATCATGCCATTTTCAGAGAGAAAGTCATAGCAGTTCTTGGTGAAGTACAACTTGCCCTCATGAACGCAGGGAAAAGCCAGGGCTGTCTCTTCAGTGTAGCTGCTTAGAGAAGCTGCTTTTTCTTCCCTACGATGAAAAACTCATTTTTGCCTTCTTCAATACAAGATGGAAGTCTGATGCCTTTTCATTTTGCCTTTTACTAGGATCCTGAATCTGCAAGGCTAAAGCTGAGCTCCCTTGAATGACTCTGATGCTGAAACATGTACATAACTACTTTGCTGAATCAGGCCCTCTTGAAGTATAAGGAGGAAGACATTCAAGCTTTGTAATCCAGCAGCACAGCAGGGAAACTGCTTGTCTCTGCGTGATTGTGTAATTGCTTTTCAAAGGAAGAAGCAAGTTTCCATATCCACGTAGCACTGATAAACCTCAGAAGTCACTTTGGCCTCCTAGCCTAACTTTCAGGATTATTCATTATGGATAAAAGGAAAGACACTTCTATTTCTATAGCCGACAAGCTTTGCTTCAGGGCATGCATTTATTTTCCATGCTGTTGATCTCTTCTCTCCTGTATCAGGCTAATTCATCAGATTAATAAAGGACGATTTAGCTTCCTGCAGGGTGTTATTGATCTCTCAGGGAACATTGTTTGCTATTGCCACCTCTACCCTGAGCAAGGGGGATGATTTTTAAATATTTCTAATGCTTGAAGGCTGCAGCTGGCTCTCACCAAGCACCTATGGAAGAGGATAAGGCAGCAACAAAGGGGAAATGCAAAATGTATCATCTCAATCCCTCTGCTTTCCCCTGACTGTGTATTCCTTGATGTGTCCAGAGCACACAAAGCCACAGCGAGGAAGTGGGAACAAGCAACTCGCTTTAGAGGGACAAAGCCCATCTAGGCTTAGCTGTCACACACTTAATCCACCAGCAGGGATTATTTGAAACATGCTACATAGTTCATAGATTATAATGTCAGAAAGGACCCCTGTAACCAGCTCCTGTATCACCCACCAGCAGGATAACTTCTCACTCTGAGCCCTCAAGCAGCAAATCACCCTCCCAGTGCTCTCACATCTGCTCTCTGGGGAACACCTCTTTGCTCTGCATTTGCCTAACCTTCAGCTGTCCATAACGGGATCATCTTCTACTTCTGGCAGCCTTTACCAGAGCTGTGTTTCTGTACATCTCTTCAGAGCACCTTTGAAGGCACTGGGGCCTTCAAGTCATGAGTGAGGCACAGGACATCAGCTGTGCTGAGCATCACACATGCCACTCAGCCAGCCCTGCTCAGCCAGGTATGACAGCGGCTGCGCAGCTCCTTCCCTCTGCCAGGCAGACACCGCAGTGCATGGTGCTCTCCCACCTCCTCTTGCATCCTTCCACAGCAGCAGTGGTTTTCTTAAGAGACCTGAAGAGAACAAACGTTTCAAAAATATTCATGTGTCATCCATCCAACACAGAGACCACAGCACCTCCTTCCCAGAGCTGCAATTAACCTCTCTATCCCCCCAAAATTATCCCCATACCTTTAGACTACAGTGCTGGATGAGAAACTTTAATTCATTGTAATCTCTCAGTCATTCCCTGGCTCCCTGCTTGTCTGAGCAGAAATCCCTGCCCTGCAAACACAGCCTGGCTCCTGGCCTCCAGGATGCAGGGCTTGACGTTTGACCTTATTTGAAAACAAACACTGTTTATTTGTGCCAAGCTACAAAGCCCAAATGCTCAACCTCAGCAACTTACTGCCTCATTCTTCACCTTCCTTCTAGTTTACTGTCATCTATGAATATTCCACTCTCTCCCCAAAACCATTGACAGACATGTTACATTGTAAAAGAGCAAGACCTGAGCCCCACTAGAGCTGGGCAGAAACATGCTCCCTTGCTCCCCTGTTTGCTGCCGTGTTGTGCTGCTTGTAAATCCACTGGCTTGAAATTCACTCAGTATGTACTATATTAATTTTATACTACTCTAATTCCTTAATCAATAGCTTTGAAGAATCAAATATCTCTGTAAATTACAACAATATTATTACCTTTAGCAGTCTAATTTGCAATCTCATTAAAAAGATATCAAGTTCTTTTCTGTAACCCTACAGTGATGGAAGAACTCTCCATCCTTCATTAGTCATACCCTCGCACACATGTTTGCCTAGGACAGGTATCAAGCTGGGCTGTCCCCAGCTGTTTTTCCAAACCTGGCACAGCAGCAGCTTGCTTTCATTGCTGCCCAACCGTGGCAACCCAAGGTCCACTGAAAATCCATACAACCCATTCACAAAGCTGCAGGGCTGGTACTAGTGACCAGTCCTCTGACCCACAGGTGCAGAGCGTGCAGTAGTAGACGTGTTGTGCAGACACATGGGGTCACCGTGAGACTCTCCATCTCGCAGTATGACCACAGCTGAAATTGGTTTTCCCCAAACATGGCATATTTATTGAATGTTTCTGCATGTATCGAGCACCTTCTCTGCATCAAAGGCTCTTCTGCAGAGTTTAGCTGGTACCTGTCCAAATATATGCCTCTTCTTCCCAATATATTGTGAAAATTACTGAACTCTGCTTGCATCATTTTCCTTTCCATATGAAAGGAAAATCCATTTTCTTGCACATAGAAGAGGTTTGGAGCCAGAATTAAACAAGGAAATGTTTCAAGAGAAGGGGCTGGGGTCTGGTTTCTCCCAGCGTGGGGGCTTGCAGCAGTTGGTGCTGTTAAGCTGGTTGATTAAAGACTAAACCCACCCCACGAAGCTGTCTGTGTCTGACCACTGCCCACATCCCTAGCTCAGGCACATTTCTCATCATTATCCCTTAACCCCACAGTTTCCAGTCCCACTTAATAAGGCTGTGGTTGTTTCTGACTTTTGGCATGACAGATAAAAAAATTCTATGCCAAACTTCAGTTCATAAATCCCAGTAGGTAGATTGGGTGGGCCTGCATTATAAAGGAAAATAACTGCAGAAAACTTAGTTTGGGGAAAAAAAAAAACAAAGGTCTTAAAACTGATTTGCTGACAGAGTAGACCTTGATGTCATCCTCCTGTAAGTAGGTTATGATTGTCAAATGCAAAATGATATGCAAATACATCCATCACGTCCTGCTGCTTCCAGTTTTATCTGCGTTTTTCCTTTTTTTTCTTCCCTTCCCCCACCCCTCCTTCTCCTTGAGTATTCCAGAAGCTGATGAGAAGTGTTTGACCTGTGTACATGGCCAGGGATGAAGAGAGTGGGAAAGAAAAAGACCCTGCACTATACCTCTTTGGACAGATACAGGTTTCCTGGTGGTTTATGTCCGTACCACAAAACATAGGGTTTCATTTCTGCCCTTAAAAAATTCAAAAACCATTGCCAGTATACATTCTTCCTTGACAATTTTTCACTGGTTTTGGTAAACATGGAGAGTTTATAGGCAGTGTCCCTTCTACAGCAACAACTTTGCCATCCCAGGTGGTTTGTAATAAGCAAGACTTACCAGGACTGCCAAAAGCCTTCCTCAAACCCAGAGCGACTTGTAGCACAAAACCCAGCAGTGGTCTCCTACAGGAAGGAAAATGTGGGCTTGAATCTTTTATTCTACTCAGTGCTATGTTATCTTTAGGGTCCCCAGAACAAGTTTATGCTCAACCTCAGATCAAAAATGATGGGGTTTGTACATAGAGGTTGATCTGACAGATTTGTGCCTAGAACAGCACCAGAGGAGCCCCCTGATGGATCTTCACCCACTGTGGGTGGGTAGGAAGCAGTGACAGGGCTGGCCCATGCACTGCAGGGCAGCTGGCACTTGAGCTGCCTCCGGGCAGTGTGTGAGCAGCTCTGTGGGAAGCAGCTGCTGCTTCTAATTAAATAGCACAGATCCATTGCTGCTCACCAGTTTGACGGCAGCAAGCCCTTCTCCAGCCTCAGGTGCTGGAATTAATGCTGCTGTGAGACAACATACACTGCAGCCTGAAAATGGTAGATCAGGTGTACACTTACTGCCATTAAAAGGCTTTAAATTGGTTTAGAATTGAAAGGTAGAAAAAAAATCTGCCATAAAAGATCCAGCTATGGCTGCAATGCAAATGACAGAGTGAAGCTGAATTCAACATGAGGTTGCTTTAGGACTTCAAGGTGCACACCTATAACACCCCCTCTTAGCAAGGGAGGCAGAGGCTGGCTCTGCTTAGCAGCCAAGTTTTAAAGCAGTGTCAAATTAAGAAACCTGGCTTTGAAATACTGGATGTCTCCTGAATAACTTCAAGCCTATTTTTGCAATGCAGGATCAAAGCATTTGCAGCCTTAAGACAGGTTCAAACTGAAGAAATTTTGGACACTCGCCACCCAGAAGGATCTAAGATCTGTGCTGTAATTATTAATACATGAGTTACCTGTCACATGAGAGCAAAGTGAATATACTACATCCATATTTATATATAGATATAGATACATTAGGTCTGTGAGCTACAATAGCATTTAATAAGGAGTGACCAGCTCTTCTGAAGTTCCTAAAGTTCACCCTACACTAAGAATATTTCCATTGCAAAACCAACAAATATTCACTGGATAAAAATCTGTCAGAAATTTTGACATAAAAGTCAGAACCCAGACTGCTGTTCTTCTGCTGCAGTCTGACCCCACCAGCCATGGTCATCCCCTCACAGCCCACAAAACCTCCTGCTGCTCACTGCAGGGATTAGATGGGAGCAGGGCAAACGCTCCTACCCAGGGGAGCCCAGAGAAGTGAGGCACATCTCCAAAAATGGGAGATGTGAAACCAAATCATCTTGGGCAAGAACAAATAATCAACTCTAGTGTCCTACACCTCATCGTGTGAGGCGGGTGATGGACAAGACTCATCTCCTCAGTGTTTCAATGGAGGACTGTATCCTTCACTGTGTTTTTACCCAATCTGTCCTGGAGATTGGCAGTTTTTTACTATTTTGCATTTTTGAACCCTTAAACATCTCCCATATGAAGAACAGACCAGTTCACATGGAACACAACCTAAATAACCGTTGATTTGCTCTCTGACCTACCTTTCAAGGAAGGTGGGAAGAGGAGGCGGCACAGGGCACCTACAGCAGGAGGATAACACAAGTCTGGAACAAGATGCTGAAGCCACCTGCTGTCATGGAGAAACAGAAGAAGGGTGTCTCAGCCCCTCAGCATTTTGGATCAGTGCTGGAGACCCTCTCACGTGGTGGCTTTGCCCCTCCAGCTGGCCGGGAACACCCCTCCTTACACAGTGGGGGCATCAGCACACATACAATGCTGTGAAACACATTCTAGAGAGGATGGGATTCCTGACAGAGGCCTAGGAATTCCTGAAAGAGTAGCTGTATTTTACCTCAGAAACAGTGAGCAAAAGAGAATGACCAGGAAAACCTATGAGACATCAAGAGAGAAACAACAGTGTTACAGTCCCAGTTCAGCACCCATTAGCTGGACACTGGTATAAGAGGAACTGAACAATCCTCATGTAACATCTTCTGAAACATTAGCTGCAGACAAAGATCTTTCTCTGTATGAATTATGAAGTATTGTTTCATGTTTAATTGCATTGATTTGCATTGAAAGCTTTAAACATCAGCCTAATAATTATCTTAAACCAATTTGTCATCCAGAATACAATAAACCATTATCTGTGCCAGTGCTTACAAGGAGCTGATTCTCCTGCATTAGAGGAACAAGAAGAAAATAAAAGAAACCAGCACTTAAAACGTTAGAGCGTGTGTTCAGATTGCTGCATTTAGGGGAAAAAGTTGTGAGAGTGATTGCCAGTAAAAATAATGGCAATGAAAAACCTTCAGAGCCAGCAATGGTGCTTATTTAAGGAGAAAATGTCCAAATGGTGGTCAGGAGCTGGAATTCACCAGCACTGAGCTGCCGCGGCTGGAGCCGCGGGTCACCCTGCTGCCCTCACACCCACTGTAGAGCTCTCCTGCAAGCCAAAACAAGGGGTATTCTGTCCTAAATCCTCCTCTCTCCAAAACTGAAACCAGCCCTGAGGGCAGTGCCTACGCGGCTGTGATTTGTGTTGCTGCTGGTGGCATCGGGACCAGCCGCCTTTCTGCCAGGTCACTCCCCTGCCTTTGCACACCAATGCTTCTGCTGATAGAGGGAACATTAACAATATCTTTAAGAAAGAAACTTCACAGCACTCCAAGTGCTGCTCTGAGAAAATGCCTGACTAAAACCAACACTAAAAGCAATCTGGCTGGAGGCATGAAAAATTTTGGACAAAGCAATTTTAGCCTTAGCAAGCTACCAGATACTATGACCAGGAGACAGCAATGCAAGATGCTTTATAGGGAAAGCTGCTGGGACAGGGCTTTGCCAAGGGGGATAGGCTGCGAGTCCCCACAGCCTGGAAAGGAGGCGATAATGATGTGTGCTCTGAGCCCCTAAAATTCCTGCAAAAGTAAGCAAAATGAACCAAAGGGGAGCTATGCCAGGTTTTGAAAATTTTAAACCCCTTCGACAGCCACACACTGTAGTACATGTTATCTGTGTGAGATCTTGCAGCAATTGAGCATTTTACAGCTCCTGTCCCAGGGAGCAGTCATTTTGCAAGGCTTTGCTTGCAGCATCGCCCCAAATTTCACTACCACTGCAAAACCTGTCCCCCCCCTTCCCTCCCCCAGCCAGTTCCAGTGTAATGGTCTTTACTTTGCAGAGTGATCTTGAAACACACACAGTGGTTTTTAGGGGCAGGATGAAAGCCTGATATGACTCATGGTGGTGTTCTCAGGGGTGTTTCCAGGACTGTCCTCCCCACTAGGAAAAGGCACATCACAGGGTTGTGGGCTGGAGGCGTAGTCCCTGTCTCACTGCCCCAACTCCTTGGCCAGGGTATGGGGTAGATGCAGAGGGTGACAGCCCTTTACTGGGCACAGCCACCATCACCCTGTGCTACAGGTCTGAGCTCCCAGGCAGTGTTTGTTCCCCAGCTGGAAAGCCCTTTGCATTGCACAAATCACAGAATGGTTTGGACTGGGAAGGACCTTAAAGCTCATCCAGTTCCAACCCCTGCCATGGGCAGGGACACATTCCACTAGAGCAGGTTGCTCAAAGCCCTGTCCAACCTAGCCTTGAACACTGCCAGGGATAGGGCAGACACAGCTTCTCTGGGCAACTTGCTCTATTCCGTAACAGTTTCTCTTTTAATACAGTTCCGTAGAACTTGAAGACCAGATGACTGCTCAGTGTCCCCAGACAGTGAAACCTCAGGAAACTTTCAAAGCTGAAAAAACCATCCTAAAAATAATAAATAAAGGGCAAAACCGTACCGACTCAACAAAGACACCACCCCAAGGCTTTAACTCCAACACAAACCATGCACTGCAACACCAGGAAAGGGAAACAGCTAGTCTTTGGATTACAAACACAACGTTTCTTGCATGACCAGGAGACACACAGGCAGTCTCATGAGCAACGGAATCCCACCAAGGGCAGGCAGATCTCCATTTCATCCCTCCATCACTGCTTGGTGTAGCCCAGCAAAAGGCAGGCTGGGGAGCAGGGCTGCAAGCAGCAGTGCAGGCACATCTTTCACTGGGCTGGGGCCTCCTGCCTTCACCACAACATTCATTTCAGCCTACAGCCCTTCATATAAAGTATCATCAAATAATTCACAGTAGGTGTCAGCTGCAAGCTACAGCCAAAGAGGTTTATTTAAGATACCATGTGGATTGTTATACAAGATCCTGATGGATTATTCCTATCCGAGAATTTACAGATACTGCAGGAGCTTGGCCAACAATTTGGATTAGTTTAGATTAAACTCACTGGGTTGGTTTTTCTCCCTTAGGAAATCTCAGCCCTGGGTCTACAGACTGTTTTTAAAGGGAAGATAGAGACAAAAACAACTTTTACACTTTTCAACAGGCACCTAAAGCACTTTTCCATCAATCACCTTTGATATATGGAGGCAGAAGTGTGAGTTACTTCATTAACAGCAGTCACACATAACTGGGTACATTTACATATTAATCAGACAGCTGAGCTGCTGATCTTTCTGTCTTATGTGCATCTGTAACCATTAGTCAGAGCTCAAGTGCTGTTAAATACTCCAGGTACCACCAAGTACTCTAAAATCAAGACGAGTGCAGGTGACAGGGAAAGACTCATATTTACAATGCTTCCGTAGAGCCTAGCACCGTTAGCTCTGCAGTGGCAATATAAATACATATATCTAACACCAGGAGCTTTAATCCAGTGGGAACCTTAAGTAAGGTGAGGCACTCCCCCTGCCTAGAGACCTTAGCGATTCCCAGAGAACAGGCTGGTTCAGTTCAGCCTTCTCCAGGCCCTTCACTGGTGTGTGAGCAGCACAGGGCACTCAGCTGCCCCACACCTTAACCTATTAACAGTAATGTCAAGCACAGCCAACAACTTAACCTGGGGCTTCTTGGGGTGGGAGAGCCCAGCCCCTGTTCTTCTCACTGCCCTGAGTCTTCTGCAAAGTCCAGCTGGTTTTCTGGACATGATCTGGTCCCTGGGTAGATCAACCCCTAGCAGCACAAGGGATTGACGCAATGAGGAGACACGGGCTACGCTCCCAAGTCAGTAATTACTGATATGAACAACCCATGCGGAACTCACCTGAGGGTGATGGCAGCTCTACAATCGAGCTGTTGCTCACTGCGGCCCACCCAGCACCCATCCCCGGTACGGTACAGCACAGCAGTTACTAGGTTTTTCTCTTTTGCCTGTTCACTTGCCAGCCCCAGGGTCTGCAAATCCACATCCTCAGCTCCCTCACACACAGCTCTGGACCTCTCTTCCATGGTGCCAGGATCTGAGCTGCTGAATTAAGCCGTCTCCACCTTCCAGGAGCAGATAGCACCATGAGGTTTAAGCTTTGGGCAGGAGCACGGTGCCTGTTCTTTCACACAAGGCACCACGCACTCACCTTCTCCCGGAGGGGCCCTGCTGGTTCACACCTACAGCTGCAGCCCACAACAGAACACATACATGTACCAAATACTTTGCCAAGGAAGTGATCTGTGGTATCTGCAGAACCGTCACAGTTTACATCTCATGGGCTTTCACTGAGCAAAGGAAAAATAACGCGTGTGGCTGCAGCGTCACACGGGCTGTGCAGGGCACTCCGACACTTGCTGAGGTGAGCGGCTCCAGGGAGGAACCTTCAGCAGTGGAGCAAGGGAAACCCCACATCCAGCAGCCTTCATTCTGAGTGGTGAGAGCCATCGAGGGAGCCTCGAGCCCTCGACAGGCCTTGCGCTGGAGCGGCAGCTCCACTGAGGTGAGCAGGGACCCACAGGGCACGGCACGGCACGGCAGGCAGGGCAGCAGTTGGCACAGGTGGGATGGGGAGCACCCACCTCAGGGATAGGGCCTGGTCTGGGGGCTCTGCTCTGGCTGCCTCAGCAGTGGCAGCACCAGACAGAGCCAATGAGGGGAGGCTGCAGCGCAGGGCGCAGGGTGTGGAAAGTGCCTGCGCTGGTCTCTTGAGGTGAGGGTGCACAATGGGCAGGGCTGCACTCAGTGGAGGTCCTCCTGCAGCAGGGGCTGAGCTGCGGGATGCTGCCAATAGGCTGAAAGTTGTCAGGGAAGCTGAGCGGAAGCAGCACTGCTTGCCCCAGACCCAAACCATGCGGGGGCCTCAAGCGTCCACCATAGCGCATACAGAAAAGGAGAGTGTTAATGCAGGAAGATGGGAACTAGTAACAAACAAACAAACAAAAAAGGAGGAAGAGGACAATTAAAAGTGAGGCACTTCCTCCAAAACCTGACGTCCCCACCCAGAACTGCAAGGGGCTAACAAGGAAATGCAGGCTGCACCAAATGAACAACCGGCTGAGGCACCAGTAAAGAGGATCGCTACTGGTGCTGCCAGGAAAAAGCAGCGGGTCATAGTAGTAGGGGACTCTACTTTGAAAGGCACAGAGGCACCCATCTGTCAGCCTGACCCAGTCTCAAGGGAGGTGTGCTGCCTACCAGGGGCTCAGATCAGGGATGTTGCAGAGAGGCTGTCTGGTCTAAGTCCCACTGACTATTATCCACTTCTTGTGGTCCATGTGGGTGCTAGCAATATTGACAGCAGCAGCCTAGGAATCATTCAGAACGACTACAGAGCCCTGGGAGAGGTGGTTAGGGGCT